GAGAAGTTGTCACTCGATGATAACTTCTTCCGTCTTGGTGGTGATTCCATCGTCGCTATGCGTATGGTCTCTGCTCTGCGACAGGATGGTTACCGTTTGTCTGTCGCAAGCATTTTTAAGAACATGCAGCTTCGGGGCATGGCTAACTCGTTGGTCGAGCTCTTACCTGAGACAAGCGAGAGCACGAAAAAATACATCCCCTTCTCGCTGTTAAGTACCAAGGATGTTGATGGCTTCGTCGCCCAGGCCATCCGCCCTCAATTGGCCGACCCGACCTGGAAGATCCAGGACGTTCTCCCCGCCACTGGACCCCAGAGCGGCGATGTCAAGCAAACAGTGTCTACCCCACGAAGCTCACTTCAGTACAACATGCTCTACCTGGATCAGTCAATTGATACCACCCGTCTCGTCGACAGCTTCCAGTACCTCGTGTCGCGGCACGCTATTCTTCGAACTGTGTTTGTTCAGCATGAGGGACAAACGCTCCAAGTTGTCCTCAATGACATGAAGGTGCCGGTCACGGAGCAGAGCGTTGAGAGCTCAATTGACGACGCTGCCAAGCAGGTTGCAGAGTCGGACGCCAACGATAGCACTGATCTCGCTTTCGGCGCTTCATTCATTCGCCTGTTCGTTCTTCGAGGCGAGACTGAGAACGCTTTCATGATCCGTATTTCGCACGCACAGTACGACGGTGTCTCTCTGCCAGAACTTCTACGCCAGCTTGAGCTTCGGTACCGCGGCCTCGAGGTCCCTGCATCGGAGCCTTTCGAGACCTACATCCAGCACCTCTCGACCGCCAAGCCTCGAAACGTGGAATTCTGGAGTAAGACTCTTGAGGGATCGTCATACACTGAGATCGCTCCTGCTGCGGAGCCTCAGCAGAAGACTGCATTCATGACTAAGGATGTTGACATCTCTGGAGCCTCACCCGACACAACACACGCGATGCTTCTCACTGCTGGCTGGGCCAAGGTACTTTCGCAGCACCTCAATGTCTCTGATGTCACATTTGGTGGTATTGTCTCCGGTCGCGACGTCGATGTCGCCGGCATTGACACCATCATGGGTCCCTGCTACCAATACCAGCCCGTCCGCGTCAAGTTTGAGCAAGACTGGACAGCTTCAGAGCTCCTGGACTACGTGCGCAATCAATCCGTCAAGGGCAGCCAACACGCCACGCTAAGCTTCCAGGAAGTGCTCAAGGAATGTACAGACTGGCCTGCAGAGACTCCCTTCTACGGCTCTTTCACCAACCATCTCAACAAGGAGTTCTTCGACTCGATTCCTTTCGCTGGTACAAAGTGTCGCGTGGATTACTCCATTCCTCACCCCGAACCTGCAGCACCGCCCCGTATTGTATCATTTGTAGAGAACGGTCGAACTCAGATTGGTATTGAGGCTGACGAGGAGCGTCGGGAGTTCTGGGAGGCAAGGGTCGAGGAGCTGGCGCGTGTGATTGAGGGGTTTGTCAAGAACCCCAACGATTTGATCTAAGTTAGTTTTGGGAAGTTTCGCATATTTATTACTTGACGGATAGAAAGGGCATAAGAATTGGCTATATATTTTATTTACTTCAAACAAAGCGGCTCATAGATCGAATCATTAGTCCGCCCGAATCTTGAAAAGACGCGAAACTTAGGTTGCTTTGATCCGAGGTCAACCCCACCACGCCACTAAAGAGGCCCATAAGAATGCCCTAAACTGACCTAGATATTATCATTACAAGCCTAAAAATTTCTCATTTCAGTGGGTTGTCAAGTGTTCAAGGTCTTATTTGCACCACGCTCTCTTCTCTTCAAACTTGCTCAGCTCCTGAACTTTGGTGAGCGACGCTTGCGTGACGGGGACTTATCGTAAATTGAAGCTATCACTGCGCCGAATAGTACTCTATCGACTAGTTATTTTTTGTTCGCTATACCTTCATTCATAAAGACTCTTTTAACGTCTCAATCTTGTCGCAGTCGTTAGAGGCAGACCAGCAGTTAACGGCCGAGAGCTCAGAGGAGTTCTTCAAGCATACATCTGCCAACTTCATTAACACGGGTCGAACGAATTGACGAACTTCAATGCGTATAACTTATGGCTGTCTTCAATATTAAATTGCTAATGTATTATCTTAATAGCTCTCAGTCTATGTCTATAAAATGTATGAGGGAGTCTCTACCGACTCATCCGTGACACCCGTTGGGGAAAGCCCAAATATTTCGGCCCCCTAGTCAAACGCCAATACCCAAATACCAGTTCGCTAAGCATCATGGTAAGCAAATATCCTCAAGAACCCAGCTAACTGCGGAGAAAACAATTCACACCGGTCTATTTGATGTCGCGCTCCTGTGTCGGATCGCCGGCATTTATAATTGTCCGATTATCGTCGTCATTGCGCAGACCCTGCGCAGAGAGGTTGGCTTCCAGGTCAAGGTCCTGTACCGGCCTCAGTCCATGGGATGTTTCTTGTCGTGTATGCTCGGTGCTGAATCGTTCAAACTTCTCGTTGGGAGCGTCATGCGACTGGCTCTCAGCCTCGGCTTCAGCCATCAAGCACCTCTTGCGGACTGACCATGCGCTTCCAGCGTGGCCGACAACCCACCAAGAGAACAAGATAGGTAGAGTAACCCCAACGTTGGCACGGCATCCAGACCAGATACCGACGAGAAGAAGCCAAACGTTATGGGCTGGAAGTGCCCACGACCAATGGTAGAACCCTGGTGTGAGCTCAAAAGGAAAGACAGTCGATCCGATATTTAGGATGATCCATGTAAGCATGAAGAAAGCAAAGAACTGCATAGGGACTATGGTCGCCAACACTGTGTCAATGACAAGGTAGTTGATGTCCATATAGAACCAGAGGCACATCCAAGTCTCGAAGAACTGAGCAGCATCAACGCTCCAATTCTCCCGGAAGGCCCAGAAATAGCCAGCCATGCCTAAAGCACCGATGAGAGTATAAATCTTTCCGGTGATGAAGCGGAAGACATAAACATCTCGCTTTGAGTAGGACTGGAGGACCTTGGTAGAAGTTGTAATGCCGTTAAGTCCCATTTGGAAAAAGAAATGCATGAGAATGCCCATCACTAGTGAGACGGTGTTCAGAAGAACTCGCGTGCCCTGCTCTGTCGGCATGATGTTCCGGACGTTGGCCTGGAAGGGTCGAAGGAAGGTGCTCGCTGAGGTAGGATTGGTCATGTTGACGGCCTTGAGGGCATCGGGAGTCGCGAGACCGTACATGGTTGCTGCAGCGCCAATGAGGCTCTGCATGTTGCCCTGAAGGGAGGAGAAAATGGAAGGGTAGTATGCGCCGTTGTAAATCGTAGTGACAGCGTCTTGTGGATCATAAGCAGTAGTGTTTTCACCCTCGATGGTGGCTAAAAGACGATCGGAGGCTCCAGGATGGGTGTAAATAGCACCCCAGTAGCCATGGTTACAGACGGCGTCGCGAACCTTTTCGGGGGTATCATACTTGGAAGACGAACCGAACTCGACAGAGGGGAACTTGTCTGACTGAATGGTATGATAAGCTCCAGAAATGGCCTTTCCTATATCGCTGCCGTCGAAATCGATGGCGAGGATCTTGAGGTTATGCATTCGTGTCGAGGACTTGAAGAGGGAACCAAAGAGGTAGGACATATTTGCGAGGAACAGTAGCTGGACCATCAAGGCCGTCATGATGACCGGTATTATGTAGGTCTTCATCCTGACGGATAATGGTGTAGATCGCGAAGAGATTCGGTTAGATGATCGAGGTGGTATTAATGTCACGGTGAATATATGCTGTTGTTTGTGCCTCGAGTAGGTTTTGGATAATGGAATGGAAGTACTGAACAAGACTCGTATTTGTCCAAGATAGACACAGAAGATATTGTTTACTTATATGTCTAAAATATGGACATCATGCCATTCCCCTGAGCTGTCAACGAACGGGGTTGTGTTACATGCCGCCGCCGCCAAACTCAGCTGGCTTCCCGAATCTCCGTTTATTAAGCCTCCCAGACTCGGATCCGGTGATAAAGCCGTGACAAAGCCCACCACGCGATTGGACCAAACTCCTGACTCAGCGGAAGTTGGAGGATTTTCGCATTCGGTCCCACCATTTCGCGCCAAACGCAATTTCCATAGCGAGGCCAATGGCTTCATGTGCATAGACGGTAACTAAATCTTGACTAGAGATCTCTGTTTTGCTGCTTCGCTGGCGACATAGCGGGGCCTTTGCCTCGTGTGCGCGCATTCGCTTCCGGCAGCTGAGCAAGGCTTAGCAGTGAACAGATAGCAAGCATATGACGTATGGCTGAATTGAACAACTAGATTTCATCATGCTCAGAAACTCCCTGTCTTCAGCTGTCTGCAGGATCGTTATTTTTTTTGGGCGAGCATGCCCTCGTCTAGCCACTCCTTAAGGACCAAAAACAATCCTGGCCTAAACTTGGGATGTCAAAATTAACTCATCTGAAAAACAACAAGCCTAGGTACACTAAGTCTTCCTAAGTTTATCTAAACTTACTGAAGTGTCACTTAGAAAAAATATCCTGACTTTTATTGCCTTCATACACCTAGCGACCAATGCCAAGGCGTTAGGCAGCCACCCTACATGTATTGCTACCACGTTGTTCTCCTGCCAGCAAGCAACCATGTCAAATTATGGTGATATCAGCCAATAGCATACGCCATACCACGGCCAGGTTGGGAATCACATCACTACGATAATGCAAAAGGTCACGTTGAACTGATGCTGCAAGCCACAGCGGGGTTGAGCATGTTCAGCAACTGTGATAATGCTCCAACTCGCAGCAGTTGATACGCTGAGGATGATCATTCAATTTAAATCCTGACTTGTCCCCGCCTCTCTTACCCCAACGCACGCCGAGCAGCGAAATGGAATTCCCAGAGACAGCCAACTCCATAAAAGATACAATTAACTCAACTGACGGTGCTTTGCTCGGTACATACGTCCTTTCTTTCAACACCAAATTTCATAATCCCGAGCAAAGCCAACCTAGCCCAACACCATGAGTGACGTATTCCTAGGCTTTAGGCCAAGGCCTAGCGACATTTTGATAGCTATGATGGGAATGACCGGGTCTGGAAAGAGCACTTTTATCTCGCTGTGCACTGGACAAGACGTTCCCGTTGGTCATGATCTGCAAGCTTGTACGTATTGGCCATGCCATTCATTAGTTGACACAGTCCCAACATGATGCAGGTACACAACACGTCACTGCATACAAATGCAAATGGTCAGATACCTCTGACATATATCTTCTGGAACTCCGGGGTTTGATGACACCAATCGATCAGACACCGAAGTTCTCAAAGAGATTGCTTTAAGTCTTGCCAAGACATATGAAGACAATGTCAAACTGAGCGGAATTCTATACCTCCATAGGATCACAGATCGTCGTGTGGGAGGATCTGCTCAAAAGAACCTCATGATGTTCCGGAAGCTCTGTGGCAAGGACAGTCTCAAGAACGTCATTCTCGTCACTACTATGTGGGAAGGCGAGGACGCAGCAACAGGAGAAAAGCGAGAGCAAGAGCTGATCGCCACGGGTGGTTTCTGGGGAGCCCTGGTCGAGGAAGGCGCTCAAGTCAATCGTCATAATAATACCCGCTCATCTGCCATGTCCCTACTCAGGACTGTGGCCAAAAACAACCGAATCACTATTTCCATTCAAAAGGAAATGGTCAGTGAGCATAAAAGTCTGAATGAGACTGAAGCTGGTATTGGTCTTAAATCAGACATCCTTCTAGCTGAGCAGAGGGTTATGAAGGAGATGTCAGAAGCGCTCGAAATGGAAAGGCAAGCCAGAAGAGATGAGGACGAACGGTCAGCGGAAGAACAACGCCAATACCGTGAGACGATGGAAAAGAAGTTCGAGTATCTCAATCAAGAGCGAGAGGATCTCAAGGTCAGTCTACAAGAAATGAAGGAACAAAGACGTCGCTTCATAGCACTGGAAGGGAAGTACCAGAAAAGCCAAGAGCGGATGCGCCAACAAGAAAAGAAGATCGAGAGTCTGGAAGAGCAACCCAAAGTCCAAGAGCATGAGATGCTTCAACGAACCGAAGAAGCTAGCAAGGAACTACAGATTCTTCGCCTTCAGCTCAGCGAGAGTGGGAATGCTAGAATGGGGGTGTCGAGAACGGGACCCCGAAGCTCAATGTCTCATTATGTAGAGCCTTTCTGGGGTGTCACGTTGTTCCTGTCAGGAAGGGACTTCTTCTTTGGAAACAAAGGGGAAAGCTTTGAGTAAGTGAAAGTCTTCTCATTATTGATAAAGTGCCTTACCAGCCATAGGTGCCGCCAAAACGACCTAAAACCATTGATAGGTGACAATGATAAACACAAGATTTGTGCGCTTGGCGCCAACGGATCATGGCTCTACCACTATCATACTGGAACTGACCTTAACTGTTGGACATGTAAGTCAAAACTTAGTTTTTGGATATAGATAGCGACTAATATCTGGAACAGGTTGGTCCGACTCGTTGGCGACCGAGTATCCGAAACTCGTCGCATGGCTCGAAAAGCACCAAAGGTTTGGATGTCCCCGACACATAAGCCTTGGTACCAGAGGTTACTTTTTTATCACCATGGTGGACAACTCGAGCTGCTGGCGCTTCCCAAAGTCCGTGTCTAGGGATCTCGGCGAATGCGAGTATACCATTGCAAATATCCGAAGGTTTTGATTTGGCTATAATCGTGATTACGTGGCCGAAATGGATACCTTTGAGTATCAATGGAGCATTGATAACTACGGCAGTCTTGAACAGCGCATAGTCGATACGATTAACAAAGAAGATAAAGGAATCATGGTAAATAAGTCCCATTACTCTGGACCCTGTTTACTGACCTGAATTAAAGCAACTTGCTATGAATATTGAGGATCCTAGAGGGTACATTTTGATAAAGGATGGAGGAGGAGCATTATGGAATCCTGGAAATACCAAGAGCCGGTTTGACGAGTCAAGCTGGCATAAGTTCAAAGATCACAACCAGGATTCCTGGGAAGTGCAGGGATGAAGTAGACACTATATACACCGATACAAGCAAGTAGAAGCCAAGACTGCCAACACGTCTAGGGAAGGCAAGAAACTCAAGACCTTGATACTGAGCGATAAGAATATCTAGGTAATTCAGCCTAAGTTTAGGGGAGCCTTAACTATTATGGGGATGATTGCGACCCATAAGGTCAAGCTTTAGGCTGCGGAGTCTTAAATAAATTCATATTAGCATCCTCCGTTGAAGTCTTGAGTTTGCTCCCTGACGCATGTGTGAGACAGGCCATTAGGGAGAGTGACATCCAGGCCCTTACCTATCTGGCCTTATTTGAATGGATATTGCCGGCTTCCCACTCGCTAGCTACCTCAGACGAAAGATAACAACAAACGAAAACCTGAGTTGGCACGGGCGAAGACCCCGGATGTTCACATGGAACAGCGTCATAAGGAATGTCATTGATCAGTCTGCAAGGAGCAGCCTGACAGGCTTCAAATTATTATTGCTTTAAATCAAACAAGGAGCGCAATGTAAGTATCTACGATGAAAAGGAGCTCCACGCTAGGCTAATTACTTGCGGCAAAGACGACCGGTCTGCTTGATCACGTAGGCTGGATGATCAGTGATGTACCAGTCCTCGCTTCCAACAGCAGTAGGAGCATAGAATACACCGTAAGGGTCAATCTTCTGCTTCAGCTGATAAAGCTTGGCATAGTTGGAACCGAAGTAGGACTGACCGAAGTCGGGGTCCATAACATCACCCTCGTTACCATAGCCACCACCGCCGGGAGTGACAGCCTTGAGGCGTTCCATAACACCATGGGTGAGTTCGTTGTTAACCTTGGCAATCTCCTCCTCACTATCGGTGTAGTTCCAGTTAAGAGCAGTGATAACGAACATGTTGGCGTCGCGCCAGGCAGGGTTGGCAGAGTTTGGAGGAGTGTTCTGCTGCTTGGCATTGATGTTGTAAATGATGAGGATGCCTTCGTCAGCGAGGATACCCTTAAGAACGTCGATGGTGTTGTTGAGTAGCTTGGCGTCGTTCCAGTTCTTGCGGGGGATGAGACGAGAGCCGGAGCGACCGTTGTAGTTACCGACATTTTCAGCAGGGAAATGTGTCTTCCAAGCAGGGTAAAAGCGGTCGTGCTCAAAGAATGTGGGCTTGGGGTCAACGCCGAGTTCCTTCCACTCATCAAGGAGGGGCTGAACGATCTTCTTGAACTCGCCAACAGAGATGTTGGGAATCATCCAAGGGTTCATGGTCCAGAGGAAACTACCGTTGCCAGCGGGGAACATGAAGCTGTAGCCGTAGCTGTGCTTGTCGGAATACTCGGGGAAGCGGCGCCAGTAAACGTCAAGAGCTTTGAAGAGAGCCTCCTGAGAGATGCCAGCGTCCTTGGTATTGACACTCCAGGTCATGCCAGAGAACTTCATCTTGGGATAGACTCGGACAGTCATGGAGACGACGACGCCCCAGGTAGCAGCACCACCACCACGAACAGCCCAGAAGAGATCAGTGTTCTGCTTCTCATCAGCAGTGACGAAGCGACCATCAGGTGTGACGATGTCAACGCTGAGGAGCTGGTCGGCAGCAAGACCGGCGATAGGGCTGATGGGGGAGTGGCCACCACCGGGAAGATAACCGCCAGCGACACCAACGTCCTATGAACCCATTAGTATCTGTGAGTGATGACCGATGAAGAGGAAGACTTACACGGCACTCTCCACCAACCGCAGTGTAACCCTCCTGGTCGGCAGCCAGGTACAGGTCCTTGACTTGGATACCAGCACCAATCTTGAAGGCAGGGCCAGTGTAGCTGCTAGCACCACGGTAGTTCTTGGTGAACTTAATGTCCTTGAGGTGATGTGTCCAGATGCTCAAGGCACCAGCACCGGTGCTCTTGCCAAGAAAGTCATGGCCAGTGTTGTGAACGACAAGACGGAGGTTGAGATTGCGAGCGAAGTTGACGGCAAGTTGGATATGGGCAACACAGGTGGCCTTGATTGAGTAAAGAGGGAAGCCACCAATGGTGCACTTGGAGCCTGAAGCGGCGTTCTCGGGCTCGCAGGTGGCACCCTCAAAGAGGGGTGACATGACCGAAGTGGGATCATCGATGCTTCACGAGGTTAGTCTGATGCATGTATGAGACGGTGCAGTCGAGGATGAAACTCACTGAGTGGTTGAATTGTGCCACGCTGAAAGAAGATAATCACACTTCTCCTTGTTGTAATGCTCTCCTTTGTAGCAGACAGAGCCAAGGGGAACAGTACTGATAAGGGCACCTCCACTGAGAAGGTCGAGGACCTTCCAGATGAGTTTGTTGGGGTAAAGCTTGTCACCAGGGAAGACCTTGCACTTGGAGTCGGCAGTAGCAGATCTCTTCTTGGAACCTTTGGTATCAGCAAAGTAGAAGAGATCGACGTCACTGAGGTTGAGGTCCGTGAGGTTGGTGAGCACGGCATCGGTCAGCCGAGGGGTATCATCGACAAAGGAATACCTCGACGATGCAGCCGGTGGCTCAGACATCGCAGGGGCAACATTCTTCTCGCTGGCCGCTACCCCATGTTTCAGATTAGTAATGGTTCATGAGAGCAAAAGAAAAACGCATCCTGCAGGCGATGGTGTTACGTACGGACCGTCTTGCCATCGACTTCGATCGTCTGAGCAAGGGTGAATGGAACAAGCGCGGCAAGCAGCCACGAAATGTGAGAGCCTTGCATCTTGTAGAGTTTTGAGGCTGACTGCAGGGACGGGACAGAACGCCAAGGACTCGAGAGGGTTGGGGGAGGAAAGAGAGGGAGAGGGGAGCGATCGGCTTATGCCACATGGCTTTCTGTGCCGTCTATATATCGAGCACTAGTTCTTATGCTACTACTGCAATCCTACAGACGTACGTACGCAAGTTGGCGGTGTTTAGCACGTATTAGGTAGTAATCACCTTGATGCTCAGGTTCATGGGCCTAAAGATATCCATGCTTGACGATGGAGTGCGGTGGCGACGGTGGAGTAGGAGCCGCGAGGCATTGCCGTTGAGAGAGGAGAGAACATCATACATTTCGGAGGCATCTAAATTCTAAACCACGATTTCCTGTCAAAATCTGTGCCGATTGTGCGGGCGCTTTCATCCCCAATGGTGCCATTTCAGCCGCCGCGGGGGTGCGGCTTTTCGTCGCTCCAAGGGTCAAGGGTCCCTCTATATGTGGAAATGATGGTCGATTTCTAAGCTTGGCGTAGGATTACTGTTACATTATGCATAACCCTCTACTGGAGAGCCTTCGGGTCGAAGCCGCTTCCCGTCAGACTAGAATAAGTCCATGGCATACTCTAAATATGATTGGAGCGGGACCCCGCGGACGGACAAATTATGCAGGCTGGGCATTCAAGACCGACAAAGTTCATGATCCTAGCGATTAAGTGAAGCGAGAACTCAAAGTTGAGCGGCTGTTGGTTGAGAATCTTTGTCAGAGTGGGATCGGCTTCGTAAAACATCGTGCTAAAAGATGATGGCAATCTCTATGGAGAAAAGATCAACGGATTATCATTTAGCTGAGACAAGCGAAGGATCATCGTTCAGCCCTCCGGGCCTTTCGACTGGTTGGGAATCCTGGCAAGGGTCGGGGATCCGGGGTAGATGTGAGCATCTCGGTAGTGTCTTTGTGATGGAGCTAGAGACGCAGCAAACCCTAGGAAGCAGAAAAAGTCCAATGCCATCTTTCAATGTGCAAGAAATAACTGGTAAAAACTGTAAGTCATGCTAAGCTTTTCTGTCAGTTAGAATTATAGTTCCGAGTCTCTTACTCCCCTGGCCCCTAGCGGTGTTCGGTTAAAACATGCTCAGGGTCCAGCCATCATCCATATTCCATCCCTTGGAGATGCATGCTACCTTGATTCATGCATATGCACGTTGGTCCTTCGAGATTGTTGAAGAAAATCGCGCGAATGCTGATCTTCACCTTTGATGGAAATGCTAAGAGATCTAGCCTGAACCTAATCACAAATCACCCAACCGTTGTTCTGGGTTAGCGATATTAGTTCACCCTCTCAATTTATAATGCTTGAAGACATCAGAACGAGTAGTTCGTATGTTGTAGCAAATTGAGCTGTATGGCACGCTTCCAACAGGATCTACCGAAGGCGTCATGCCTCGTCCTGAAAACAAGTTGTTGACAGCCTAGTTTCAGCCACCACCGGAAGCCTTGGGCTTGGGCATCAACGCCTGTTTAGTTGCAAGCCACAGTGTTCCATCATTTCTACTTTGGATTCTCCAACAACCAACATGCATGATCGAAAACACAGCTGAGGGGGAAACATGCGCTTTTAGGCGTTCTTGGCGGAACACCGGAGATCGTACCGGGAGTCTCTGCGGCACAGAAAACCTTAGCAGTCCTTCAGTCCAACCGCACACGGGACGTGTGACACACAAGTAGCTGGATCACCGGTAGTTGACACACAATGCCTTGTTTCCAGAATCAGACGCACTGAGATATGCCGGCAATCACTTTCCCCTTTCGTAATCGTACACGAACAGCACCGTATTGTGCAATCCAGGAACCAGGAACTCGTCTTACTTCAAGCACCAAGATGGTGGTTCAGCTCCCAAACCACGGACCATGCTGACCATGTTAGGTCACTTGGGTGACAATCCTCATGAACTCTGTTCCTCATTCTGTTTTATTGGTCTTCACGTTCTTCGTCCCAAGATTCTGCGTTGCTGGGTTCCCCTGGATATCGATTATACATAAATCTGAAGGGCCCCGTCTCAAGCGATCGTATTCATCTTGTGCCAATACCGTGTCAGCGGTTCCCCCCTGGTTCGTCCTGTTACATGTACACACAGAGCGACGATCGATCGCAACGGCCGTCTTTGCCCGGATCAGCGGTCACATCGAGTTTGCGTCAATCTTTCTAGTCTCGCTTGACGTCCCATGGTGCAAACTCTGCATCATCACCCTTTTGGCATACCATCTCTTTTATGTTGGTTTGACATTCACGATGGCCTCAATGCATCTCTACACTCGAACAGGGCCGCCGCCCTATCCTGATCCTTTGAGTCTTCCTACGACTCCTTTGCAGCAAAAGGGTCTCGCTGTTCTTTTCATTTTCCCGACTTTATCGATCATCATTGTGTCTATGCGTATGTACAGTCGCGTGACCTCACGGACGGTTGGATTAGGTGAGTCTCTCTCATGGTCAATGCAATCAATACCGAAAGCTTATATTTGGTAGATGACTGGCTCGTGCTGGCAGCTTTGGTAAGTTTGACACGTCTTCATGTCTTGGCGATGAACTAACATCGACAGTTCTTTGCTTTGATGATGATTGGACCCCTTTACATGTGTACGTGGACTTGAATCTTGTCACATCAGAAAGGTCCTTTTGCTGACACTTATACAGTTATGAAGCTCAACTACTGGGGATTCCACGAGCGAGATGTCCCAAAAGACCTTAATCTTGCCGCTGGCTTCTGGTGGAACTTTCTCGTGCAGATGTTCTACAATCCCGTCTTGGCACTCGTCAAGGCCTCGATTCTTGTATTCCTCCTTCGCTTGGGTGGTCATAAAACCAACGTGCGATACGCCATATACGGACTAAATATCTTTAATGCTGCGCATGCCGTGGCCATCTTCTTCACAGCTCTCTTCCAATGCTGGCCCATTGAGGCCAATTGGGACTTCCCCCTGCGAAAGGAGCCTGGTGTTCATTGTGTCAACAACTGGTTCCATGTTATCGCATCTTGCATCACAATCGTGACAGATTTCCTGGTCGTTGCGCTCCCTTTCTGGATCTTCCTTGGCTTGACCATGCGATGGGCGACCAAGATTGCTGTCCTCAGTGTGTTTTTGCTGGGTAGCGTGTAAGTAGCACCTAGAGCCCCACGAGATCGATACTAATATTATCTAGAGTCGGTATCATCGGAATTATCCGTGTCATCTCCATCTATCACCAACTCGTCCAGGGGCCGAGTCCCGGCGAAGACACCTTCTACTCCATCCTTCCTGTCTGGGGCGCCGTCGAAACGAACCTCGCTATCATCTGTGCATCGGTTCCCGCTCTCCGACCGCTTTTCCGACGATGGTTCCCTGCTCTCTTTGGGGGAAGCTCAGACGCACCATCTGGAACTCCATACAGCGGCCGATATGCCAACAACTCCCGTGGAACAGGTGGAATGCGGTCACATAACCACGATGATATTCGTCTAAAAGACCTTCGGGTCTCGCGAACTCAACATACTGAGATTCGTAGTGTTTCGCCGACCGGATCCGAGGAAGAAATCATGACATATAATGGAATTATGCGGACTACGAACGTTCAGGTTGCATATGAGAATGCTTCAAAGGCCACTGTGTCAGAGTCGAGGACCTCCAGTGAGATACGGTTTGAAAGCAAGGCATCCGAGGTTAGGCATGGGATTTAATTCAAAGGGTATCGGACATGGGAAAACTTTGGTTGTATAATAGTTACCTTCTTTATGACTATCTGGCGCTTTCGCGCAGCCATTCAATCATTTGTCTTGTGGCTCTAGCATGTTCCAATAAATGGCGAATCGATTTTACTGCTATTATTATTATAGCTATACAGTAATAATGCCCCAATAATCAATCTCGACTTAGATATCCAGACTAGATCAACAGATAATTTTCAGTTGGTGTTGCACCAGTCTGGCACTTGCGGAGAATAGTACGCTTTCCGTTGATGACCACCATTGAAGTCTTCACTGGTATCCAATTAGCATAGTCTGCTTGGCTCAGTTGGTTAGAGCGTTGGTCTCATATTAGATTGTGATCTGATCCTAGATCAGAGTGATCCAAAGGTCGTGAGTTCGAACCTCACAGCGGACAATACTTTTGTCATTTTTGCCTCTTCTTCCCACCATAAAAACATTGTTCTCTTTGTCGATTGCTACCATTGGTACTTACTTTATTTACTATACCATCTGTCAATATTTTGCCTTATTTTTTGTCATTTCTAGTGAAATTGAGTAAGTCGTGCTGCACGCCGTTGTTCGTTTACAAACTGTTCGTGATCACGTCCTAATCTCACCATAGACCCCGACGAGCCATTAAACAATATCATCAAAATTAAATGATCGCTCATCCGCAATTACAGTGTACAGTTACCCGGGATACTCTGTCCCCAGACACGTTACATTACAACGCATCCACCGCCACCGTCCTTGCCATCGTCATCACCGCAGCACCCACAACAGCCATCGCAGTCACAGCAGTTGTCGCAGTCGCAGCAATTGTCGCAGCCACAGCAGTCACCGCTGCCATTGTCACCACCATTGTTGTTTCCATTAGAACATTCTTTCTGGTCACTTGGTTGTTGGTACCTTGTGGCATCATACGACGTGTCCACCTGATCATTGTCATATTGGTTGCCATAGTTTGTGTCATTGGCGTACTGGTCGTGATCACTATCATCGTAGTAGCGATTACCATCGTCGGGACTGTTTGGAGAGTATTGACGATCACCATCACTATCATACCGATAGTCTCCATTGTCTATGTAGTCACCTTCATATTGGTTGTACTGAGTGTAGGTGATGTTCTCTGGGCCCTGACTGTTGTCGTAGTTGTTGATCACGTAGGTGGGCTCGTTTGAGTCGTTGTTCAGGTAATACATGGCTGCTCCTGCGCCAGCGACACCGGCGACGGCACCCCCGGCTGCATACTTCATGTTTGACGAGCTCTTCTTGTGGCTTTGTTGGGGATGCGCC